TGTTATTACTCCTGTTTATAAAAGCGGTAACAGAATGGAAACATCAAATTATAGACCGATATCAGTACTATCGAATATAGCCAAAATTTTCGAAAAATTACTACAAAAAGGATATTACAATTTTGGACAAAAACAAAATTATATGTTCTGACCAATATGGATTTAGAAAAGGAAAATCTACTACAGATGCAATTTTGGCTGCAATGGATGAAATTAACTCTAATGTCAACAAAAAGATACCTACTATTGGTATCTTTGTTGATCTAAAAAAAGCCTTTGATACAGTTAACCATGTTGAGCTTCTGAAAGTTATGGAAAGATTGGGATTTAGGGGAGCATCACAAATCCTTTTAAAAAATTACCTTTCAAGCCGGGCACAGACTGTCAAAATCACTAACACTTACAGTAAAAAAATGTACATCAAGTGTGGTGTGCCTCAAGGAACAGTACTAGGCCCACTATTATTTAGTCTCTACTTAAATAACTTATTCAAAATTAACAGTTCTGGAAAGATTATATGTTTTGCAGATGACACCCTCGTATTATATAAAGCTGATGACTGGAGCACATTGAAGCAAATAGCTGAAAGTATTTTATAAGGATCATTGACTGGTTGGATACTAAACTTTTAACAGTTAACTTCAAAAAAACAAAATTTATTGCATTTACATCCTATTCAAAATTTTTACCTACCTTCGAACAAATTTCCGTTAATTATCATGACCAAAAGACCAAAATCGATAGAGTTAACACTTTGAAATATCTTGGAATATATATAGACTCACATCTAAGGTGGGATAACCATATTAAATATGTTATCAAAAAAAATAGAAATGTTGCCTATAAACTCAAAATGCTTGCTAACATTCTTACAGAAAGTTATCTGCGAATCCTATACCAAGCCTTAGTTGAAACCCATATAATATACGGCATCACAGCCTGGGGTGGCCGCCTGCAAGACATATATTTCTGACCTGAATAGCACAAAAAACTGTTTGAAAGCCATTTTCCATAAGCCAAGATTATATCCAACGAACAACTTATATCAAAAAACAGGGATACTTGATACAAGACAACTTTATTTCTTACATGCCACCACCTTATACCATAAGTATTGTAATAAAAAGAAAAAATCCTATAAACACGAGCATAACACACGATTTCGAATAGGCTCATCTAATATCCAAAGACCACACAAAACATTATTCAAAAAATCATTTAAATTCTTAGCAGCTAAATTATATAATGTAGTACCAAACGAAATAAAGATACTTAATTTTTGAAAAAAATTTAGAAGAAAATTGAAAGACTGGGTTTAGTAATGTGCAGCGAATGACTATACATAATTATATAGAAAAGTAAAACAACAAAATTCCAATTACCTTAATACCTTTTAGATTTAACAATAATTGTTATACACATATATGATTGATTGTTAGTTATTACGATATAAACCACACACAGGCGATGCCTTCTGTGGTTTTTTCATATTTATTTGTCCATTTTTTGTATTTTGGCGAATAAATATTATTATTATTATTATTAGCTGTATCACGTATATCATACTAAAGTTTTAGTTTATCGTAATTTCTTTTTGTCGCAGTAAATAGATAGATAAATGTTTTGTCTGGAGGAAAAAAAATGTTCACAAAATCAAGCTGGATTCCAAATGGTGGTGTAAGAATGTATTGTAACAGTTTTTTAGACTGCAAAAGGGCATTTGAGACTATAGGTGTAGATATCAAGCGTTCAAAATATATAAAATTATAAAATTGGTTAATAGTGGTATTAAAAAGCTATAAAGTGGTTAAATGTTAATAAACTTAAATTAAACACTAATAAAACTAGTGAAAAATTGAAGTAGTCGAATCATTTAAAATCTGGGTATATATGTGGATAGTCAACTACCGTTTCATGAGCGTTACGAATACATTATTTCAAAAAGATAAATCACTTCTATAGATTTTCCCACAATCTTAGTATACATTCCGAAAAAAAATGTGCATAACCATAATTTTTCCCTATTTTTTATATTCATATACCATCTTGTTTACAGTAACTGAAAACTTATCTTCAAAATTACAAACTCTACAAAATAAAGCTATGAGAATCATTTTAAATGAAAACAAATATGCTACGAGTAAGTCTGTGTTTAGAGGAACCACAAGTGTTGAATGTTGAAAATCTTATTTAGTTCTCATTTTCATATACACATTAAATAGTCATTATCATAACCACGAAACTAGAGGCAGTATAGATTTTCATCTGCAAAATTGTAACAGTAGCATAACTAGCAAATCTGTACTCCAAAAGAGAGTATTTGAATTCAATAAATTAAATAATGATATTAAACAATGTTCGAATTTAAAATGCTTAAGATGAAATTAAAAAATCACTTTATGAATACTCGAAATCCATAGTGATGTAATTTTAATAGACAAGAATGTAAAATTACAGAAAATATATTAAAAAAATGTGTAAACGAATAATTATATAAAATTGACATTGTAGCATTAATGCTAAATAAAACTTCAACAAAAAAAAAGAATACAATCATTCTTACTGGCAAAGCTAACTTAAAACTAAACTAAATTACATATATGGATCTCATAAAAATTAATTGTAGAACTCACTTCTGTAAAATTGTTGACTCTTTTGATATCGTCAGGGGGCACATGTCAATTTTATCACCATTGTGAATGACTGAATCTTTCACAAGTGTTGATTTAGGTACTACTAATTTAAAATCTTGTTTTCGCCTAATAAATTAATAAGTTATATTTGATGTCTCAAATTTAGATTAATTAAAAAAATAAAAGTTGTTGTTTCTAAAATAAACAATGAAACTACAGTTATTATTTTAAGATTTAAGAATGCCTCGCATGTAGATATTTTTGTTGAATAAGCACTTTGTCTAAACAATTTTGGGAAGAGGTACCTCAGAAGGGAATGCAAATAAGGTAAATAAACTACTTAAGGCTGTGCTCTTCCCTACGTTGTAACTAATTTTCTTCTAATAAAGGAGATCTTTGCTGGTTGAGTAAGCAATTTGTATTGTGCATCGACTCATTATTCGAGTTTATAAAATCAAGGGAGCATTTAAATTTCATAAATTCTGTCTTATTACCATTTTTTGGTTGATTCTATATCACTATCAATTTTTGTTTTGATTTCATTTATATCTGTGTCTTGCCAAAGTAATCTGGTATTGTCAGCCAAAACTTCGAATATAACAATTATGTTTGTTTATTAAATCATTCATATACTAAGTGACATATAAATCCGAATCCCAGTTTAAATGGTTTTATTTTAATAAAATTTTGTATAAGTACTTAATGAAGCATAATAAGTAAATGATAAAACTTTCAAAATGATTGCACTGCTTTAAAGCCCTTTGACCTTTAATAATGTGTGGATGCACCCTGATGTGCTACGCATTCTCCCAACGCGCCTAGGCATGCTTCTGATCAGGTGGTCAATGTCCTCCTGTGGTATCTCATTCCAGGCAACCACCAACTCCTCTCGAAGTGCTTCTAGAGTCTGAGGAGGACGTTGCAAATTGAGCAATCTCCTACCCATCATATCCCACACGTGCTCAATTGGGGATAAGTCGGGAGATCTTGGTGGCCATGGTGACATCATTATGTTGAAAGAAGTCTATTGTGACTCTGCAACATGTGGTCGGGCATTATCTTGTTGGAAAGTTGGATCTGTCAGGGTGTCAAGATAGGGTTAAAATATGGGGTTTTAGAACTTCGTGGATATAACACTGCGCGTTCACGTTACCTCTGATGAAGATTAAAGGTGACCTGGAACCATAAGCTATAGCACCCCAAACCATAACTCCCACAGTGTCAACAAAAAACTGTGGATTCCTCCTTTCACCACGTCGCCTTCTAACCCTGGCACGACCATCGTGCATGCCTAAATAAAATCGAGACTCGTCACTAAAGACAATACTGTTCCATTCCTCATCCCAGAGTGACCGTTGTCTGCACCACTCTAGGCGATTACGTCGGTGTTCTAGAGTTAAGGGAGGACCCAGTGTGGCCGGTATGAAAACAAGCCAAAACTTCTCATTCGTCGGTAAAACTTCGCATGCCATTAGGTCTTCCGTGTTCTGCAAACCATTCATTTGCAATGGACCTGGTAGTGGAGAAACGGTCCCTTAAGGCCAATAATCTTATGCGGCGATTTTCACGGTCTGTTGTTCTACGGCGGCGTCCAGTGCCCCTTGCTCTTTGCGTACGGCCTTCTCGAAGCCATGCCTGACAACACCTAACCACAGTGTCTACACTTCTTTGCACTCTAACTGCAATTGCCCGAAAAGAAAGTCCAGCTTCCCGAAGTCCCACTATACGGCCCCTATCAACTCACTAAGTTGACGAAATCGTACAGGTCTCCGTACTCTAGGCATCGTAACCGATCGTAAAGGATGTCATGAACCAAAATCCGCCAACGTTGATTCTTACTGCGCTGAAATATTCATTTTTAGAGCGTTAGTGAAAAAAAAGCAGTATAAAAACCGGAATGTCCAACTGATAAGGCTGAACATTTTTTCACTTGTTATTTACAGTAAGATAAATACATTCACCAACTTTTATTAAAATAAAACCATTTAAACGGGTGTTCGGATTTATATGTCACTTAGTATATATAAAAAGAATAGATCGGACCTAGTACTGGCCCTTGAGGTAACCCTGTACTTATATCTAATTTATCTGAATATAATGTCTTGATATATAATTTACAATTGGGATTGATAGTTTAAATATGTTTCAAACCAGTTGAGTGAGGTTCTAGTACAATCATATCGTTTAGTTGAATCATGGAGACTAATCAGCAGCATTGACAGACATAGTGGACTGTCGCCGGAAATGCGCGTGAAACTGAGCAGCAATCAGCAAATAACTTGGCTGAAGCAGGCCTTACACTACATGGGAAATGCCATGTAATTTATTTAGGGCTTTCCATTACTTTTCAAATTTTAGGTTGCATAGATGGTAGAATGCAACTTCCTCACGGAAAGGCCGCTTGGTGGCAGCTCAGTTATAAATTACATGATCTACATGAGGGGCAACAAGTTGGATTACGACAGATGGGAAGCGATGGGAAATCCAGGATGGTCCTACAAAGATATATTTCCATACTTCTTGACGGCCGAAGATGCTAACATTACGGGATACAAAGACGCTGGATATCACAAAAAAGGCGGGTATTTGGGAGTCAGTGATGTGACGTATAGGTCTAGAGCAGCTTATGCCTACGTAGAGGCTGCTCAAGAAGCCGGGCACCGATTTGTGGATTATAACGGAAGAGGCCAAGTTGGGGTAAGATGAAGATCATATCCGTATTTGATCTCATACTAGCAGACCATTAGGAAACACTTTTATCTGAATTATGGAAGCACTAGTCAGGTAACCTTATGTGGACAAAAGCAAAATACCATCCATAGTAGGATTAACAGAGTTGCCAACACTTCTAGCCTAGAACTTCATATTTGGATTCAGCATCTTCAATCACCTAAGTATCATTCGCTTATAGTAACGGAAAAAGATAATGAAAGTCTCTTCTTAAAAGTTCTAAAATATCCAAAGGTTTCCTATGACAAACTTTTTAAAAATATAAGCGTGCCCGGTATCTAGACCAACACTCGTTTCTGAGCTAAATAGGGTACGTCGATCCCAAATCCGA